GGCGGCAGGACGACGCAAGGCTGCGGCGGGGCGGCGCAAAGCGGCGGCGGGACGACGAAAGGCGGCGGCGGAGAAGCGGCGGAAGCGACGATCGGGTGGATCGATGAGGCGCGGACGCAGGGGGCGGACGGTGATGACGTCGGCGGGAGTGATGGGGCAGAGGAGCCATGACAACATGTCGTTTTCGAGTGGCAAGCCGGTGGAGGTCATCGTTCTCCGTGTGGTTCTGGGAGTCGCTGTTGTCGGCACCTTGGCCTCGATCATGCTCATCATCATCTCCAATCATGGCTTTGGCGATCCTTGCGACGACAACAACTTTTTCAAGGACAGCACAAAGTGCTGGGGCAAGAAGAACGGGCCCATCCTCCTCGGCATCATGCTCACAACCGCCGTCCTGGCCGCTATCGGCCTCGCCATTACCAGCCGCATGAGCAGGATCAAGATGAGTGGCGGCGGAGGTGGCTTGGATGACTTGGATGGCTACGACTCGGGCGTTGGCGATTACGAGTACAGTAACGATGCCGAGGCCGGCGGCGCAAGGAAGCGCCGCGGCGTCAACCCATTCGATGAGGGCAAGGCCGACGAGTCGGCCGACGGCCCCCGTCCCGCGCGACTCTTCACCAAGGGCAAGCGGGCGGCAGCAAGCGCCCCGCCACCGAGCGGCAGCGAGTACAACAGCGATGACGACAGCAATAGCAGCAGCGAGTACGAGTACGAAGAGAACCCTTCGTCCGATAGCAGCGAGTACGAGTACGACGATGGCTACATGTACGAGAGCTGAAAGGCGATCTCACGAGCGCTGCATAAAACTAACACGCTGCACGCCAGTTGAAGCGGCTTGCTCAGGCGCGGGCGTGGCAGGTATGGTTTATCCGAGACGACCTCGTCTACCCGCGCTGGGCAGCGTAGGCTAGCTTCTTGCGGCGGCGGCGGGCCTTCTTCTTGGCAGCCTTGGCAGCAGCCTTTGTGGCAGCCGGATCGGCGTCTTCGCCGCTGGCCTCGTCGTCCGAGTCTGAGCCGGCCTTGTCCCAGTCCTTGAGGGTCTTTGAGCCGGCCGAGGCGAACGAGTCGCGGAGGTAGCCCGCGGCCGGGGCAGCGTCGGCGTCGGCCTGGCCGTGGCGGGCGCCGGCGGCCGAGCGACGGAGGGAGTCGGCCTGCTTGGCCTGCATGGCCTGGGTCTTCTGAAGCAGGTCGAGGAACGAGTCCTTGGAGATGTTGTCGACCCGCGGGGCGGTGATGATCTTGCCCTCGAGCGCCTCGTTGAGCGAGCGCTGGTGGGTGCTGACGGCGTTGAAGAGCTGGACCACGCCCATGGTGGCAAACTTGGCCATGGAGAGCTCAAACTTGGTGGAGATCGGCGGCTGCGGGTTGTGTCCGCGCTCCTTGCGCATGGCGCGGGCAAGCGCCTCAGACTTTTTCTTGGCCCGCGAGGCCTTGATCTCGGCGTTGATCTTGGTCACCAGCGACTTGTTCTTGGCCAAAATAGGCTTCTTGGCAGCAGCGCCCAGAGAAGTGCCCATGACCTTGGCAAAGGCGCGGCCAAAGGCGTTGGGCTCATCCTCGCCCTCGCTCCCAGCGCCGTCGTCGTCATCGTCCGAGCCGGCCAGCATCAGCTCTTCGCGGCCATCGCCCTCACCCTCGCCACTCTCGCTCCCATCGCCCGCCCCGTGCTTGGCCAGGAACTTGGCCTTGGCCTTGGCCAGGTTCTTGTTCAGCGCGCTCACCGCCAGCTCGTCGCCCTCAAAGGCCGAGTCAAACACAGCCTTGCCGCCGGCCACCAGGCTGTCCTCGGGCTCGGCGCCATCGTCATCGTCCACCACGTCGTCGTCCGGCACCTCCTCGCCTTCGGACGCTCCCTCGGACGCGCCCTCGTACTCGCCCTCGTACTCGCCTTCGTACTCGTAGTCCTCGCCGCCGCTCGAGCTTGCCGAGGCCATGCTGGAGGCAGCAGCCGACGAGGCAGCCGACGAGGCGGCGGATGGGGAGGATGAGGGGAGGCTGCGCCGCTGGCGCTTGCGGACGGGCTCCCTGCCAGCCGAGCCCGAGTCTGACGAGCATGACTCGCTGCTCTCCTTCTGTCCTGCATGCCTCCGTTTGCGGTTGCCCATATTGCCTGTCTCTCAACCTGGCGTCGGGTGTGTCAGCCTTGGCCAGGAGGGGGGGGGAAGGGGGGGCGGTGGCGAGCGGAGATGGATTGGGCCGAGTGACAGGAAGGGGGGGGGGGGGGGAGGGGGGGGGGAGGGGGGGGTATGCACAGGCATGATCGCATGGCATCGTCTGCCATCGCACACTTCAGCCATCGCACACTCCTGCCATCGCACACTCCTGCCATCGCACACTCCTGCCATCGCCAACCACTGCCATCGCCCATCACCGCCCTGGGGAATGGGAATGGCAGTGATGGCGACTGTGATGCCGATAGCGGTGGCAATGGCAATGGCGGTGGCAATGGCCATCGCCATCCTGATAGCAATCCTGATGGCGATGTCGAGTCCAGATCCGAAGTGGAATGACTTTGTTCCGGCCGAGGGAGACCGAGAGTGGGCAGGGCCGCGCACACGGCCAACTCCTCCACTCCTCCTCCTCCTCCTCCTCCTCCTCCTCCTCCTCCTCCCCGCCCACCATGGCCACCGCACACGCCCTGCCGGTGCTGTTCCCGCCCGGCCCGAGCCGAAAGACCATCCTCGTCGTCCGGCACGCACAGAGCGAGCTCAACGCCCACAAGCACGCGCCCGACTCAGGCGGCATCGCCACGGCGCCGCAGGCTTGGCGCGCCGATGCCCCGCTCTCAGCCCTCGGTCGCGAGCAGGCTGCAGAGGCGGCGGCGGCGGTGGCGGAGCTGTCCGAGGCAGCAACGGCGGCGGTGGTGGCGGCGGCACCACTGGCACGGTCGCTGCAGACCGCCCTGGCCGTCTCGGACGCCCTCGGCGGGAGTCTGCCCATCGCCGTCTCGCCGCTGCTCCGCGAGGCGACCAAGAAGCGGCCCATCGGCCGTCCACTCGCTGATCTCCGCGCAGAGTTTACCGATCCGCGCTTCGACTGGACAGACGCCACCGACGACTCGTGGATCGCCAGTGTCGAGGATGTTAAGGCCGCCCCGGCCCGTGCTGAGGCTGCCCGCGCCTGGATCGCCGCACGGCCCGAGCCTGATCTTGTCCTCATCACCCACGGCACCTTCTTCAAGCTTCTCTCCGGCACGCAGCTCAAGCTGGTCAACGCCGAGCTCCGCTCTCTCATCGTCGAGCCCTCGGGCGCTGCCGTCCTCTCGCCGCCGCTCTTCCGCCTTGCCTCAGCCGCCCACAATGACGACTCGGACGCCCCCGACTCCGATCCCGCTGCCGACCCCGCTCCTGCGCCCGCCCCTGCCCCCGACTCGCTCGAAGACTTGGCGCGGCTGCTCTCCTCGCAGATCCGCGGCTCAGACTGGCTCTCGGCCAACCCGGCCACGGGCCCGACTCTGCTCGAGCTTGCCGCCGAGCTGACCGCGGGCACATCACCACCAGCCGACGACCAGCCAGGGCAATGAACGCCGCCAACACCCCATACACACACTCTCTCACACACACAGCCACACACACTCTCTCACACACACACACACACACTACAAACAGGTTGTATGCCGGATGTTGGGTTCTGGTTCTTTATCTACGCATCAAAGTTGATGGTGCTGACCTCGAGCTGCGAGGGCAGGGTGTCCTTGAGACGGGCAGCCTGGTCCGGGTCCACACGGATGGTGTACAGGTACTTGGAGCAGCGGACCTTGAACTTGACCACGCCACCGACCTTCTTGATGCGGCACTCTATACTCCCTCCACCAGGTGAGTCACTCGCTCCCTGCCCATACCCCCTTCCCCCCTTCTCCCCCCTCTGTCTCCCCCCCCTTCACAGCCTCCATCACACAAATACGTACTGCGGGCGTCCTTGCGGGCGGCAATGTGGAGGAACTTCTTGATGCTCTTGATCTCACGGGGCTACACACCGTACCATTGGACACACATACGTACAACCATATTGTGAGTCTCTTTCTCTCTCCTGCTCCTGCTGCCTCTCGTGCTGTAGCCCCCTTCCCCCCCTGCTGGTCGCTGTCTAGCGGTGGCGAGGCGCAGACAAAAATCAAACTCTCGCCACCGCCACCCCCATCTACACAGCCTGGCACACCGGTACAGCAAGCACAGACAGGGCGTGGGCATGGCATTACCATGCGGTATGTACAAGCATGCCTTGTGTACCGTGTGGCCTTGTCGTGTGTATTCTCCCTCTCTCCCTGACCCCTCCCTTGCTCCCTCCCTGTGCCGTACCATGGTGGAACAGATAGACGAGTTGTCCCCCGTCTGTCTCGCTCCGCCTTGCCATCCATTAATCCGCCCAACAGCCATCCATTAATCGTACGAACGAATGACCGAATCCCTCCGAATGCCTGCCATTCAACCAAACCATCGAATGATCGATCATATGAACAAACAAGCGAACAAACGAATGAATGAACCAATGAATGCATGAACCAATGAATGCATGAACCAATGAATGCATGAACCAATGAATGCATGAACCAATGAATGAAGGAACCAATGAATGAAGGAACCAATGAATGAACCAATGAATGAAGGATCCCATGCCATTCGGGTGGACCAACACCTTATTCATCCTCACCAACAATAATCATATCCATCATGCCATTTATTCCCTCCTCCCTTAAATCCCCAACACTTTCGCACTCTCGCCACTCGGCCTCCCCTCACTCCCGACGTCACGTCTTCTCAGCTCATGGCTCTGGACGCGAGCTTCCCTACCCTCGATGC